ATTTGTATAAAAAAATTATTCCTCGTTCATCTTTTCAAAAGTAATGATGACCTACCCCTGATCGTGATCAATAACACGCAAGTAGAAACGTGTCACAAACCCAGTTGATCTGCTCTGTGTTTCTTTTTCTCTTGATTCTTTCCTTTTGTCTCATGGTGGGTTATATATTATAAGGAATGAACTTCCCCTTTTGCATTTATATCTCCATTTGTTCATCCAAATATCTGACTTTAAATCTTAGATATGAAGCTTCGTGTTCAAATTGTTGAGTTGTCTTGAAATAATTAATGTAAAGTGTGCTTTAGGATACACTCACTAAAGTGAGAATTCTTGGGATATTTCGACTTCTTTTACTAAATAAAATATGTAAATTAATATATATATATATATAATTATTTAATATTAGAATATTATTTACATTTTTAAATAAGAATACGTCCGACTTCAAAATTTTTAATGGCTTTGCCTTCAATTGGTCATGGCATCCTTAATTGACCTAAATCAGATTTCGTGTCTGACTTTTATATAAAAATACTAGAAATTCTTCTGTACTCTGACAATTTCTCCATATTCAAAATATACAGCTAGGTATCTATTTCAGCCATGGAGACACCTTATTTAAACTTCTAGTTATTTTTAATTTTAAAATCGAGGTGACAATTTAGGAAGCACATAATGTTTAAAAACACATTATGAACCATATTTCTTTCTATGGATATGCATTTTTTAGATACTTTTTCTATGAAAATACTTTGTCAATTATTAAAGATACAAAAATCTTAAGATTCAATTCATTGATAAATAAATATTATCTTATAAGTCAAATTCATGGTTTAAGTCTTGCGAGTAACATTTAAGGAAATTAATTTCCTTGAATTCATCATATCAATATGGGGGATGTGCTCTTAAATCGCTTAAAGAAAAATTAATCTCAAGGTACATATGTAAAGTTGCTACAAAAAAAAAAAAAAAAAAAAAAAAAAAAAAAACAGAAGCATGAATTGGTTTTTATTTTTTAGTTTTATTGAATGGCATTTTACTAATTCATTGACTAGTAAAGTTGCTACCTTAAGGCTTTGTTCGTAACTATATACTTTTATGGTAGAGTATTCCTTATACTCTTTAATAATATATTGGTTTTATTGATAAAAAAAAAAAAAAAGAAGCCTCGAGGTACATGAAAATTTGCCCAAGGATCCCTTGATCATAATACATAATAATAATAATAATAAATTAAGGTACATAAAGTTGCTTGTTCGTGTTGCTTATAATTTTCAACCTTGTATGTTAAATTCTTACCACCTGCCTACACCAATGTTGTTAGGTTTTGTGTTTCAACTCTTATTTTTCATATATTTTGATTATATCTTTGTGTTGCTTTTCTTATATTTATAACTTGTTGAACTCCAAGTGATTTTGATAATAACAAAACTCCCTTAAGTACGTAATGAAATTGAGCTTAGGTGTGCAATTAAAAAAATCCCAAAGTGCTTGAAGGAAAAAATTGAAAAACTACAAAACTAGGCTAAAAAGTCGAATGCAGGACTTTATATTCGACTCTTGAAACAAGAACATTTGATTCTTGCTCGTAAATTCAACTTTGGAGCAAAATTAGAAGAAAGGATTCAACCCAAGAAAGAGTTGAATATTAGGAGCTATATTTGACTCTTGGACCCTACAAATTTTACTCTCAGAGCTGAAAAAGTCAACTCCTAATTCCATGGAGTTCAGGAAGATTTAAGGTGCAAGGCAAATTCAACTCTCCATTTAAAGAATCTCCATTTAAATAATGGACTCTTGAAGGTCAATATTTGACTTCCAATATTCAACTCTTGGCCTAAAGGTGAAAAAATTGACTAAGTCCTAGAGTTTCTTAGAGAATTGACTCTCAAAATGAAGGGTCAACTCTAGACTTTATAGATTTGACTCTTAAATTCTAGAGTTGACTTTTTATTATATAGTAACAACTAGTTTTTTGAATCTAACGCACTAGTTGAGCATTTAATGCATTCCACCAGTCCCAAAAGGCTAATTTTGACCAGAGCAAGATAAAAAGGGTTGGTAGGAGTATTGAAGAGCTTCTTAAACACTTCATTAAAGAATTCCAACAACCCACTTGAGCTAAATCTTGCAAATATTCAATTTTCTTGTACTTTCACTTGTATATGTAATCATTGAGTGATTGTCTTATAATTCTCATCCTATATTCTATAAGTTATATCTTAGGGGGTGTAATCTATTCCTTCAAGAGTGATTGCAAAAGGTCTATTGGGTTAGATTGAGAAGGGCTAAGATTTAGTGAAACCTACCTTTTTTGTAAAAGGATTGGATAGCTCCTTTAATCTATTTTTGATATCTAGTGGAGAATGTGAAGGAAATCCTTGGAGAATGTGAAGGAAATCCTTGGAGAATGTGAAGGAAATCCTTGGAGAATGATGTCAAGGTAGAGAATTAGGTGTCAAATCTTTATGCAAGCCCCTTCTTCCCTTCACTCTTTAAGTTTCAAGTTGTGGTTGTAAAAGGAGAAAATTTTTGAAGACTCGAATTTACCACCCTTTTAGAGTGCATTGAACCAACATAACTTCATTGACATTGATTGGTATATCCTTTAATTTAATATACTATATAACACATTCATAAAAAATTATTATTTTTTGATATGAAATTAAATTAGACAAATTTAAAGATGTAGCCATGCATATATCATGCTAGACCGACTGAATCAACTGTTCACAAATTATATTTTAATAGTTAAATTGAGTAAGTGTCGAAAGGTATGTAAAATCAAAGAATGCACTAATCATTTTCCTTTCTGAAGAGTGGTATGCCATAATGTAAGTTTTTGGTTAAAATACTAATTTAATCTCTCAACTTTCAAATTTGTACCAAATCTATCATTAAACTTTAAGAAGTACTAAAAATATCCTTGAACTTTAATTTTTGGTACCAATCCCATCCTTTTGTCAACGATAGAGGCAGGTGGCATGTCTTAAATTGCCAAAAAAATCACACGTTTTTTTTTTTTAAATAATGATGTAGAAAAGAGAACATGTAGAAGGTGAGGAGGTGGCATTTTTTCCTTTCTACATGGCTTTTTTAATTTTACATGGACAAATAAAAGATGCACATATTTTATAAATTATATACTTCATCTTCTTGTTCCCTTCTTCTCTCTCATCCCTGCACCCCATCCTTTCTCTCAAAGCTTTCTTCATCCTCTTCCCTCCTTCTTCTTCCATTACTAGAAATTAACATTTAATTTCCATAAATATAATTGATAGCCAAAAAGTTGTTGATTATACTCATATAATCAACAAAAACTCTATTGATTATGATAAGTATCAATTCTATAGATTTTTTTATCATATAATCAACAAAAATTATAATCAACAGAATTTCTGTTGATTATATAAGTATAATCAACAACTTTTTGAGTGTCAATTATAAATATTAATTAAATAAGAATATAATTGATAGAATGTTTTTTGACAATTATGTTATACTAATTTAAAAATAAGAGGTTTCAAGAGTATATTTATTTACTCATTTAGAAGTATTCATCTATAGGCTTTGTGCTACCCCAAATTAGTGGTCATTCTTTTAAAGGATCTGAATTTGACTCTTTTGACCACATATCACCCCATAGTTAGAGATATTGATATTTGATATTTGATATTTTTACTATCTATGTTCATGTCCATGTTCATTTGGAAATGTATTTATAGATACTTTTAATATATATTTTGTGTATTTATAATGACTAAACTAACTATAAATGTGTAGTATTAGAATTGGTAATATAATCAAAATATATAATATTAACTAAAAATAATCTCATATTTTATAGTGTTAAATTTTTATTATCAAATTTATGATTTACAAGATAGATAATATTTTTATAGATGTTAGTAGTAGAAGGTTAAATATTAACATATATATCTACAAAATTTTGACATAATTAATAGCCATTATTAGTTGTCGATTATACCTACATAACTAACAACCAATAATGGTTGTTGATTATACATGTATCCCATCTCGCCTAGCTAAAAAAAATGAATTTTGCAATGTAACAAATTCAAAATATAACTGACAAATACTCTGTAATATAATCGACAAAAAT